CCACATTCATTGGTTCAGGTCTTGCAAAGGGACAGTGATGCTGTCTATGGGCTCACAGTCTCTCATTTAAAACCCTTGGGGATAGATGGGTTTCAGACTTCAGGATATTTCAGACTTTAGGAAGACAATATAGGGCATAGTCCGCATATCATAGAAAACCCCAGAAGAGTCCTGGCAGGCCCTGTAATCAAATATATTAATATATCTGTTCCCTGCAGAGAAACACATGAGTCTTTATGCTAAGTAAAGAATGAGAATCATGAGCATCCTGACATTAGTTCAAGTCAAGTGTTGCTGCCAAAGGAGTGATACAGAGTACTTTGGATTTCCAGAGCTCTGTGGATTTTGGAATGGTGGATAAGGGATGGCAGACTCATTAATTCCCCCTTATTTGACCACTTAGTGGATGTGGATGGATGAAGATGGGGATTCAGTATTTTTCATGATAATTTTTGACATCCCTTTATTTTCCCATGTTTATTATTTTTGACATGTCCATAGTTTAATACTCCCTTTATATATGCCTTTCTGTGGTGTGTTTAGTTCAGGCTTTTTCTTAAGGCAACAAAAAATAATTCTTAAGAAATAAACCACAATTATAATGCTAAGGGAACTAAATCAGTCAGAGAAACATAAATACAAAATGATTTCACTCATATGTGGAATTTAAGAAACAAAACAAACGAACAAAGAAAAAAAGAGACAAACCAAAAACAAACAAACAAACAAAAAACAAAAACAGACTCTTACCTATAGAGAACAAACTGATGGTTACCAGAGGGGAGGTGGGTGGGAGGATGGGTGAAATAGTGATGGGGATTAAGGAATGCACTTGTCATGATGAGCACTTAGTAATGTATAGAATCGTTGAGTCACTCTATCCTACGCCTGAAACTAATACAACACTGTATGTTAACTATAGTAGAATGAAGATTAAAACAAAACAAAACAAAAACAAAAAAGAAGTAAACCACAATGGTATTTTAACCATATTTCTTTTGCCAGAATACATTATACTTTTCTCCTATGCCTTCCTTAAAGGATGGGGTATGAGATGTAATTCCCCCATAACTATACCAAAGTTATTATCCATTTAAAGATAATACTTTGGGCAGTATGACTCTGGCACTAATTCAGATGTGTGGGTGTTTTCCCAACCACTAAGAAATTCTGTGACAGCAGCTGGGTGTTCTATAGTTCAACTTACTGCTCACACTGTCTCCCTAGAGATACCATCAAATCCTGCCGGTTAAGGGCTCCTTCCTACAAGACTCCTCCCCATCTCCCCTTCACACACCAGCTGCAAGTCCATGTTGTCACCTGGGCTTCTGATCACCTTGCTATTGGAGGTTTCCATGACCTTCTCCTTGAATTCTGGAGAGGCTCACAGAACTCAGAGAAACATTTTACTCACTAGATTACTGGTTTGTTTTAAAAGAATAGAACTCAGGAACAGCTAGTTGTAAGAGATGCATAGGGCAAGGTATAGGGCAAGAGGGTAGAGCTTCCCTGCTCTCTCCAAGCCCACCACTCTCTCTAAATCTCCATGTGTTCACCAACCAAAAGCTCTCCGAATCCCATCCTTCGGGGTTTTTATTGAGGTTTCCTTACCTAGGCACGATTGATTAAATCACTGGCCATTGGTAATTGAACTCAATCTCCAGCCACTTTCTTCTCCCTGGAAATCAAGTGGGTAGGGCTGAAAGTTCCAACCCTCTGATCACAAGGTTAGTTCTCCTGGCAACCAGCCCCCATCCTTAGGTGCTGTAGGGGTTTTCCCAAATTGATCTCATTAGCATAAACTCAGGTGTGCTTGAAAGGGGTATGTTATGAATATCAGGGTGTAGGTTTGCAGCTACCATATGGAAAATGAGCAAAGCCCGAAGTCTTAATTAACATTACACCAGCAACAGCCTGTGGTGAGGAAAACAAATAGCCTTTGTTGTTAACAAAATCCCTACACCAGGAAACCCCATTTCTACTCATTTTTCTCTTTTAAGAGGCAATGTGGTATCATGGGGGACAAAACCAACCTTCTGGGTGTGGAGTTCTGGGCCCATAGCCATCTCTGGTACATCTTGTAAAACAGCCAGATTTTTCCCCGGGGAAATGGGTATATTGGACAGCAAGCTGATGTTCAAAGTGTGGGACTCATTAGAATTGAACTAAATAGTGAAAAAGAAAAGTCCCCTACTAATTCTTTTTAGTCCTTTGGTTGTAATAAAAAGAAAGGTGCAGTTTAATGTTAATAATGGGTCCTTAACATTTCCCTAAATTTGCCAAAATGTCTTTTTAAAAATTCTCTTTGTAAAAAAAAAATCTCTTCTTTTCTCAGTTCAGGAGTATAGGTATGTATGTATGTATGTATATGTTTACTTATTTATTTTAAATAGTTTTATTCAGGTTATAATTGCAATACAATAAACTGCACATACTTAAGTGTACGATATGATAAATATTGACTTAGGAATACACCTATGAAGCCACCACAACAATACAGAAAAATCAACATATACATTCCTCCGAAAGTACCCTCCTACCTCTTAGTAATGAGTATGTACCTCACTGAATTTTCAGAAACTGAACGTACCTCCGTGAGCAGTATGCAGAGCCACAGAGCCCAGAAGCCCTCCTTCCAGACCACCTTGTGATTCTGTAGCCTTTAAATGCCAGTAGCTCAGGTCTGCTACTGACCTGACCCCAACGCTCCCCGTAGCTCATGTCTGCTAAGTGCCACCCAGCTGTGCTGTTGAGTTAGGCTGTTGGAATTCAAGTTGGGGCTTCATTTGCCCTGGGCAAATTACTTAGCCTCACTCTACCTTATCAGTAAAATGGGTACAATAACAGTATTTATCTCATAGGGTTGCCATGGGGATTAAATGAGACAGTCTTTGTTCTTAGAGCTAGAAGTTAATTTAGAAACCAGGCATGTTAACTATACAGCTTTTTAAAAGCTGTATGTTTTTCTGCAGTCTTTCAGGTTCTACTTAATAGAAAAGATTCCTGAGGTTCTGACCTTATCCTGCTTTCAGCTGGTCTGAGGGGAGGTGGGAGGAAGGACTGTGTCAACATGGATTCTGGAGGAGCCTGGCACACAGTTGGTGCTCAATAAATATTTATTGGGTCACCCTGACTTAAAAACTTGGTCTTTATGAAGAAGATAGCTAAAGCCTGTTTCCTCTAGTTGTGGCTCGTAAGTTCGGTTAAAAGGCCACCAGTTACCCACAAGGACCAAAGAAGCCTGAGCAAATGTCTCCTGGTTGCTAGGAATGCAATTCTTTTTTTTTTTTTTTTAAGATTTATTTATTTATTTTAGAGAACAGGGGAGGGGCAGAGGGAGAGAGAAAATCCTCAAGCAGACTCCGTACTGAGCACAGAGCCCAACGTGGGGCTGATCCCAGGACCCTGAGATCATGACCTGAGCTGAAATCAAGAGTCAGCAACTTAACTGACTGAGCCACCCAGGCGCCCCTCTGGGAATGCAGTTCTGCTCCGCTTTACAAACTGTGTGACCAACAGGTTTCTCCAAAATTGTTTTTCTGATTCTAGGTAAAAATGGAGGCATAGGGCTAGTAAACTGTCTTGAGGGTAAGAGTATAAAATGGAGTCAGCGCCAATGTGCTGGTAACATTTTCTTTCTTGATTTAGGTGCTGGTTACATGGAATGTTCATTTGTGAAAATTCATCAAGTTCTGCACTTTCTTTTTTAAAATTGTAGTATAATTTACATATATTAAAATGTACAGATCTGAAGTATTTAGCTTGATGCTTTTTTACTTGAACTTACAACCATGTAACCCTTACCTAGATCAAAATATAGGATATTTCCATCACACCTGCAAGTTCCCTTTCCTGTTCCCCATATGTAAGTGCTTTTCTGATTTCAATCACCATAGACTTACCTGTTCTTGAACTTCATATAAATGGAATCATATAGCATGTATTCTTAGAGTATGTGTCTTAGAGTTTTCACTCAACATAATGTTTTTGAGATTCATCCATTTTCTTACATGTAGCCATAGTTCATTCCTTTTTATTATTGATTAATATTCCATTGTATGAATAGATTGGTTTGTTTTTCTATTCCACTTTGATGGACATTTGGGTTGTTTCCATTTTAGGCTATTGTCAATAAAGTTTCCATGAACATTTATGCCCAAATCTTTTTGTGTCCATACGTTTTCATTATTCTTAAGTAAATATCTAGGATTGGAATGTTGGGTTATAAAGTAGGTGTACATTTCCCCTTATCAGAAACTACCGGACAGTTTTACAAAGTGGTCGTACCATCTTCCACCAAGATGTATAAGAGTTCCAATAGCTCCATATCATTACCAATACTTGATATTTTCAGTCTTTTTGAAAGCTGTATATTGTGTGCAATTCTCTATGTATACACATACTTCAATAAAAAGTTAAAAAATTAAACCAACAATAAAAATGATGGTGGTTGTGTTTAATGCTGAAACTTTGAAAATTTAAATCAATCATCTGGCTGTTTCGTTGGCACCTGCCAGGGATCCAATGACTGAATGTTGCCCTATTTAATTGATGCATATTTTTTTAAGAGTATTTCTTTTTTTTTAAGATTTTATTTATTTATTTGACAGAGAAAGACACAGTGAGAGAGGGAACACAAGCAGGGGGAGTGGGAGAGGGAGAAGCAGACTTCCTGCAGAGGGGAGAGCCTGATGCGGGGCTCGATCCCAGGACCCTGGGATCATGACCTGAGCCCAAGGCAGACGCTTAACGACTGAGCCACCCAAGCGCCCCTAATTGATGTATTTTTAATTTTACAGTGTGCAGAAAAATTAAGTGGTACATACTTATTGTTGGTCGGGGTAACATTATTTCTAAATAAAAGAGTCTCCCCAAATGTTCATTGAGAAATCTTTTCACCTCCATTTCCAACCAAAAAGGATTTTAGTTTTGATAGGAAGACTTATGATTGAAAATATTTTGACAGGAGCTGATTGCTTTCTTCTTCTTTCCCATTTCAGAGCATAAGTGTCCAGTGGATGAACGGGAGCAGCTGGAGGAAACGTTGCCCCTGATTTTGGGGCTCATCTTAGGCCTCGTCATTGTGGTAACACTGGCGATTTACCATATCCACCACAAAATGACGGCCAACCAGGTGCAGATCCCTAGGGATCGATCCCAATATAAGCACATGGGCTAGGCAGCCCCCGTGACCCCATCCCCCAGCTGGATCAGGTAGAGAAACAAAAGCACTTTTCCACCTTGTACATGGGATACACCAACATAGCTACAATGCAAACAGGCCTGGGTGTCCAAGGCTTGCTTGGCCTGCGTCCATGCTTAAACCCAGGGATGGGGGGCATTCTTTTGGATTCATGGGTGAATGGCAGATATTCTCTCCACACTGGGGAATGAGGCGGGAGGGGTCAGCCAGCTTTCATGCTCATGGTGGCTTGGCTTTGACTCTCCAAGGAGCAACACATACAACTGAGAAGAGTATCTGGCTCTGAAGTTTAGGGATGGAAAGACACTTCTTTTGGAAAGACACCCCTTTAGGTTCAGAGAAATAGGGGGTGCTTTGGTCCCTGGCCTACCTTATTCAGTTGTCAGTGCATACAAAATACAGCCTCATGCTCCCTACGGCAAGACCCCTGAAAGTGATCCATGCTTCTGGCTGGCATTCTGCATGTCTAGTGATTGTCTTGGGAATGTTTCACTGCTACCTGCACCCAGTGACTTTGCAGCACAGAACCTGTTTAATGTAACTATGCACAGTTGTTTGGACTTCATAGTATGTCAGGTCCAAGTAAGGGGACCTGAAGAATCAATTGTGTGAGTTTGTTTTTCAAAATGAATTAAAACACACTACTGTCTAACATTTGTCTGCTTTCTTGAAACAAGAAAACAACACTAAAGTGGTTTTTTTGGCACCCAGAGAAGAGAGGGGAATGGTGAAGATGGGCTTTCATTTCTACAAGAGGAAAGCAAAGAAAGGGCAGGGAAGCCAAAAGAGGGAGGTTGTTTTTTTCCAGGTAAAAAAAACAAAACAAAACAAACCATGGATTTATTCTGGCAAATATAGTTTTAATAATGGCCCCTCTTGAATGACTGGCCTAATACTGCTTCTGATGCTTCCTGGTTTTGAGTCTGGCATTTCACTTCAGATTAAGAAGCTGGTCTGAACATGAGAGCCTAGGTTGAGTTGTGTTTGAAGTAAAATAGAATTTGCTGAAACTTCCTAGAGAAATGGACAGAGTTTGAATTTCACTCACTTTGTAAATAATCATTTTTCTGAAAAATCTGAGTCGGGGTAGGGGAAATCCTTTTCTCCGATGTTAAGGGTGGGACTCTCCCCACCCCCCATACGATCTCTATCATATGAGAGACAGCTCATAAGTTCATCTCCACAAGTCTTCAACTGCTGAAAGAATGCATCCTTAGAAATTCATTATCTCAGCAAATCTTGAGAAGTATCGACCAATTGCTGTTCTATTACCTGTTTGTTTGCTGCTGCTCTGTCAGTCTGTCAGTCTTTTTCCCTGCAAGACCTCTCTTCATTGTCGGCCTGCCTGGTACCAGGGAGGAAGACAGTTGCACGTTGCGCAAGGAAAAGGAGATACCTTTTATCAGCTGCCATCTTGTCACCCCATGCCCCGAACTTAACAAGCTCTTTCCTTATTAACATCTCGTATATTTTTTAAAAACTTCCTATTTATTTGGAACCACCCAAGAATTTGGGGGAGAAACGGACACTTAGATGTATCAATGAGTTACCCTTGCCCTTTGTAACCCCTTTGGAAAAAATATTTAGACCTGACTCATATTTCTGAATACTCCATATTTCCTTAACTTACTTTTACAAAAGTAAATTTGTGTCTTTAAAAATTTCACTTTCACAAAACATAGGACCATGATTAGTTTTGGAATTGTCATCCACTCATTTATTCAACAAACAGGTTTTGAGCACCTACTGCGTGCAGGCTCCGCGCCAAGTATTCAGTAGTGAAGTGACAACTTAGAGTCTATGGGGTATGGCTGACAGACATATGTCCCCAGGTTTTTCCAAAAAGAACAAGTGCCCTGGCTTTTTTCCAGTGTTGTCACATGGCCACATCCCTGTGGTTAAGCGGATCAATTAAATCTTTCCAGAATCCAACTTTCTTAATTCTCAAATTTCAGTGGTTTTTCCCCTTGCGATATGCAGTCTGTATATAAGGCCGCATCACCATGACTATTATTGCTCTTAATCACAGCATCTTTATTTAGTTGTCCTAAAATTAGGTCTCTAGCTCAGCCTAATTTCTTTGAACCTCGCCTTATTTCTCTCAGTCCTGCCTTTATCTTATCAGCTAAGCAGAATAAAGGGGAGCCTGGGGTCAGGGCAGGTGCAGTGGTCTCTGGTTGGAGAACACAAGGCGTCCAGAAGGACTGACTCAGCCTCGGGTCTCAGCCTGGGCTCCTCTCATGGCCATTCCCACTGTCCTGCATTTCACGGCTGCCCCTGTGCCTGGGGCAAGCTGAGATGGTGGCTCAGGTCTCCACATTGCTTCTCAAGCTCAGAGAGGAGAGAGAAAACAAACAGACAAACCACAGATGCTCAATTACCCCCTTAACTGTCATTTTCTTTTTTTACTGCAGTTTTAAACACAAATGCCTCTGGGCACAAAAGGATGCTGTGTCTGGTTGCTAGTTGGCCTTCCTGGAAAAGCCAGGCCAGATGAACCAGATGCAAATTTCTTTGGGGGCGGGGGGGGGGAGGGGGAGTTTGATTTAAATTCTGAGCACCTTTCTTTGCAAGATTCCCCCATTCTCAGGATATAGCTCCCAGTGAAGCTGCCTCAGGGAGTAGGGGAAGACTTTGTTCTCCAGCCTGAGAAAGCCCTCTAAACTATTAACCACTCTCTTCTCACTGATTGTCCAATCTTTTTGTTAACAAAGACCTGGCAAAGCCGAGGAGGTACGGGAGACAGCAGAGAAACACAAATGGAGAAATGGGTTGGGGCGGGGGGCACGGAGGTGGTAGGAGAGACCAGCAGTGTCTGGTCTGAGGGTGTGTTTCCCTGGGGAGGTGGTCCAAGCTGGCACTGGGCACAAACACTTCCCTGGAACAGACACCTGAGTGACCGGAACCAGGCAGATGTAGCTTTAAATCAGCGAGTATCCAAGAGCAGTTTGCAAGCAGCATGCATCAGAGTCATCCCAAGGGGCCATTGAAAAACATCAGTTCTAGGGGCGCCTGGGTGGCTCAGTCAGTTAAACGTCGGACTTCAGCTCAGGTTATGATCTCAGGGTTCTGAGATGGAGCCCCGCTTCAGGGTCTCCGATCAGCTGGGAGTGGAGTGTGCTTGTCCCTCTCCCGCTGCCCCCCACTCCGCTCGTGCTCTCTCTCTCTCAAATAAACCAATAAAATCTTAAAGAAAAATAAACAAAAAGAAAAATATCAGTTCTAGAGCATCATCCCAGACTGATAGGGGATCTCTCTGGTGAGACCTAGAATCTGTAGTTTTATTATGCTCCCCCGGTAATTTTGATGCAGCGGGATGAAAACTGGTGAAAAAGCCTTTGCTCTCAGCCTACCTGCAACATTAGGCACATCATCAGGCTTCTCTGTGCTCTCTAATCTAAAAATGGAGCTTGCTCCCCCATCCTTGCAAAGTTATCTGAGGATTCATGACAGTACATTTAAGTCCCTAGCACAATACCTGGTGCCTTGGAAATGCTCCATAAAAGCTAGTATTAATGACAGGTTTTCCAGCACAATTCTTTTTTTTTTTTTTTTCCAGCACAATTCTTAACATGTGCATACGAAGTTCATCTGCCATCCAAGTTCAGGAAAGATCCAAAGGGACTGATGCAGGGATTTTTAACTACATCCAGTTTTCCATGCCAGTTTATTGTGAATTCAGAATATGTTTCTATGCAGGGACTTCCCTCCCCCCCACAGACCAGTAAATCACTCAGGGTGTGTGTGTGGGGGTGTTAACTTACAGGGGTGGGGGAGACTATCAGAGTCCATGGACTGGGATGGGAAAAAACTACTCTTTAGTTTTTACCAACCTCAAATGAAAGGTAGCATTTCCTTCAATTACAGACATAGGCACCAAACCACTATGGTACAGGCAAGAACCATGTCATCAGTAGAAATCGCTGCATTACACCTGTTGGAGATATCTCAAAAAATCACATAGGCTCATTACTTTGAAATTATGGTGGTTACTAGACCCATCATAAGATCTTGTTATTTAAGAGACACCTGGATGGCTCGGTGGGTTGAGTGTCTGCCTTAGGCTCGGGTCATGATCCCAGGCTCTTGGAATCAAGTCCCACATCAGGCTCCTTGCTCAGTGGGGAGCCTGCTTCTCCCTCTGCCTGCCACTCCCTCTGTTTGTGCTCTCTCTCTCTCTCTCTGACAAATAAATAGATAAAATCTCTAAAAAAGATCTTGTTATTTAATACATTATAACTATAAAATTAGAATATTTTGATAACCATACTTCAGTTGGTTCCCTTTGTATTTTACTTTATGCATACAAAGACATTTTCCTGAAGAGTCCACAAGCCAAGAGGGTCCAGGGTACAAAGTTAGGCTAAGAACTCCAGGGTTAATGTCTACTTCAGTTGTCCTGTGAAGTGATATTTATATCACCTCACACGTGCTAGAATGGCTATTACCAAAAGATAAGAAAGTGTTGGTGAAGTGAAGGAAAGGAAACTCTTGTGCACTGTTGGTGGGAATGTAAGTTGGTGCAACCACTGTGGAAAAGCATATGGAAGTTTCTCAAAAAATTGAAATTGAAATATCATATGATCCAGAAATCCTACTTACCTGTTTATCCCAAGAAAATGAAAACATTAACTTGAAAAGATGTCTGCACCACAATGTTCATTGCAGCACTATTTACAGCAGCCAAGATCCAGAAGTTACCTAAGTGTCCAATGACAGATGAATGGATAAAGGAAACATCACACACACACACACACACACACACACACACACACGTATTTCTCAGCCATAAAAAGGGAGGAAATCCTGCCCTTTGAGACAACATGGATGGACCTTGAGGGCATTATGCTTAGTGAAATATGTCAGACAGAGAAAGACACTCACTTATATGTGGAGTTAAAAAAAAAAACCCAAGTTGATAGATCAGAGAACAGGTTGATGGTTGCCAGCCAGAGGCAGAGGATAGAGGGTGGGTGAAGTGGATGAAGGGGTCAAAAGGTACAAACTTTTTCTTATTTTTATAAAATAAATAAGTCCTGTAAGATAATGTACAGCATGGTGACTATGATTAATCATACTTTATTATGTATTTGAAAGTTGCTAAGCATAAATCTTCCAAGTTTTCATAAGGAAAAAAATTGTAACTATGTGTGTTGATAGATGTTAACCAGACTTATCATTCCACAACATATACATATAGCAAATCATGTTGTACACCTGAAACTAATATGTCAATTATCTAAAAAAAAACAAGTGACTGAACTCGTCAGGTTGTCTGCTGAGGAAGGATTCGCAAAGACTCATATGACCAAAGAGATAACAAGTATTTGTTAGCACTGACTGACCATGGGTTTTCTGGACCTTGGTCTGGGTGATGAGGACATATCAGTGAACAAAATAGGGATAAAGTCTCTGCCCTAATAGAACTGAAGTCTCTCTCCGTGTGTGTATGTGTGTGTGGTCTATTCAGGTAGTACGATTCATCTACTGACATTGCCTAACTTTGGGAGCCTTGGTTAGCTCAGTTAAGATGGATCATATAAGATCTTGGATCTTTAAATTTTTTCAAATGCTGACAATGAAGAGGCATACTTACCAAAGCATCTGCTACGTGGGCAAACCTTTCAGGATAAGGAATCCCTTTGCTTTTAA